TAAAAATTTCATAATACTTTAGTGTTCTTGTGTATTTACATTAAAGCTCTAAAAACAGGCATAAGTGATTGTTCATGTTTGGATGACGTGTGGTCTTGTGTACTAGCTATTTTTTTTCTCCTTACCATGGAAAAACAAACTATCCCAGCTATTAGAGTAATTAAAACTATTTATGGAATGGAAAAATTGCAACCTTCTAAATTTCTTTAACGTAAATGCTTTTTTAAACCTACAAATGAGTGCACGATATATTTTTTTTAAACAAAAAGGAACACTGCAGTTTTGTGATGCTTTATAGTATATTGGAATATCTTTACGTCATTGTCTCGATTTTAATTAATCTCACTTTATACAGAAGCTAAATTTTTTAATTCTGAAATATCTTTGAAAAACATGGAAAAAGGTTTAAAAAAAGGGGAATAATGTATTTAAAAAATAAATGAATAAAAACAAGAGAATTATTACTACTAAATAAATAAAATGTATATAAAATGAACGAATTTTCAGCGAATATAATTTTCAGAATAAATTACAAGCTTATAAATAAAAAGTAAGCTATCGGTTCTTAAAACGCCCCCATATCAGTTCTTCAAAAGGACAGAGAAAGAAAAAGATTTTCAAAAAGAGTTGAACAGGGAGAAAGCAAGACTACCTACGGAGAAGATTAGACCCCAATCAATTAGACCCCAACTTCCACCCCCAATCTCTTGGGGGTGGAAGTTGCCTTCCTCTCTTACTCAAAGGTGGAAAGTGACTTGAGTTTCAAAGGCAATATTACAAAAAATAATAAAGATAAAAAAAATTGACCTACATTTTCGTGAATAGGAAAGATTGAAAAAAATTATTAGTATATTTTTTGAATTGATCACTCCGATTTTTAAACAAGAAAATTCGATTCAAAGTATGACAAGCCCGCCATAGATTTTACATGCTAAAAGCAGAATTGAGGAGTCTGCTTGGTTCAACACTTTTCTCCCGGCAACCACGATTGGGGACCCGACTTTCCGATCATTTGAGCTCGACCCATGCTCATTGTTCGCCAAGGTTATGACCCTCTATCCCACCTTCAGGCTGGAACATCCTAGGATGGACAGAGCATAGCCCTTCTGAAATATTAAAATCTGAGTCTCAGTAATATAAAAAAGTAATTTAATAATATCCAAAAATCAAAGTGGGAATATATATGAAGATTTTACTAGTCGCAAATACTGATTGTTATGCTGGCCTATTCTGCGCCATTTGGTATAATGGAGTTTATTAGCTTCTTTTTTCTTTTCTTTCTTTCCTTTTTTTTAAAAAACAATAGTGTTGCAGTTAGCAAAACAATTTACCCCTTTCTCATACACAATTAATTTTACCAACTATTTAATTAAATTTTAGCAATTTTAAAAATCTTATTCTTTACTCCACTACGTTTATTATTTCTTCGTTAATATGCTAATCAACTTCTTTAGTACTTTATTTCAGGTTTTCTTTAAGTAAAGTTCCTTTTTAGATTATAGTCAAGTTTTTTTTTAAGGAATTATTGTCTGCTAGCCAAAAATAAAACCTTGTTAAGAAATTAAAGACATTCCGCTGTTTAAAATTATTTAATGCAAAACAGCTGATTATTTTCAAAGCATACTATTTTTTCGAAAAAATAATAAAAATCATTGATTGACTTTTTTTTTGTTTCTTGTGACTTCAGCATAGATTATCCAAAATAGTGTTGATGTTTAATATGCCAATACAAAGAGTATAAAGATACCGAACATAAAAAGCTGTCGATTACGTAGCCAAAATTTTTAAGCGTCTTAAGATGTCTTAATGTCGTCCTAACATCTTAGTTGTGAAATTAAATTTTTAATTATCTGACCACGTGTGATTCACTAATTATTTCATTATATCTTTCACTCTTTCTTTATGATTCCATGTAGATTTTTTTCCGGATAATATTCTAAACTCTTTTGTCTAATTTTTTACTTTTGCATGATCCCCAAGTTATTATTGTAGTATAATTTGTTATCAGGAAAAATGCTTTATTTTGTTAAGCAGGAAATACTAAAAATTGAAATTTGTAAGAAGATTCCGAAGCCGTGCCAATTTTAGAATCATCTGATATAATAGAAAATGCAATAAAAAATACACAATTTCCGAACTTATTTGATTGAAAAAAAAAGAAGAAAGAAAGAAACGTGGCAAGAAGACTGACATATTTTTTACAGAAACTGTGAAAACCAATTTTTCCTATATTTCGTCAAATGAGGATAAGAATGATATTGCTCCAAGGGACCTACTCAATAATTTTCCTACTTTCAGAAGGAAATCTGTTTGATCGAAACATATTTCCTTGAAAATTAAAACGAGGAAAAAATTAACTTTTATTATTTATCCAAGCTATTCCATTTATTTAATGATAGCGGTATCTAGGTTAAGGATATGTGATGGAAGCCCCGTTTACTATTATACTATAAAAACATTAAATCATGTGGCTTTAATAATTTATTTTAAGCAAATTATTTTATAATTTTAAGCAAATAAGGGTGTAAAAATAAACTTGATCAAAATACTCCGAAAGTATACCCTAAAATATATATAGAATATACTTTGGAATCGATATATAAAAAATACCTTTTCAAGCAACTTCGAGTAGGGCGGAAAAGCTAACTTAAAAATGCACACCTTGATATTTATGCATATTTGTAAACTAAAGATGTGAAAATAAAACAGACACATATAAATCTATTGCATAACAATTTGTTTAAATATTGCTAAAATGAAATGCAAATTTTTTCAAAAATTACAAACCATTCCAAGTCCTCATAATATTCAAATGTGTTTTCAGGTCACATGTATTCTCTAGCCTATCTCAGCACTAAATCTAAGCGAAGGTTATTAAAAAAATCTTTCTTTAGAAAATGAATAGGTTTCAACAACAAAAAGTCTTGGCTGTCCCGTAGGTTAGAATCGAAGCTATCCGCTACGTCCATTTCATCTAATGAAAAAGCAAAAGAATTAAATGTTTCAATTCGATTTCCTAATAATTCTTCTGCGATTGTTTGAGGTTCTATCACCCCTTTTGCTATGAGATCTTCACAAATCAATTTTTTGAAAATATTCTTAAAAGGTACTCGCTATCAACACTATTGTCTAAAGAAGAGGGCAACGCATCTTCTATAGGCCCCTCATGGAATATCTTAAAAACTTTCAAAAGGTCTCTGGATTGAAACATCTTGTCCAACGTGATAGCCGCTATTTGATCATTTCCCCCCATTGCTCACGCGAAATTTTAATTTACCTGAAAGCAGGATTTTGGTTTAATTCATCATAAATACGTGTAAAGGAAAATTTGGAAAAAATTATCAATCGTATCATGTAACTCTTTCTCAGGAGGAAAAAATCCACGTGGTACTTTGCTTTCGGGAACTTTCTCTCTTCCCATGATGTACTCTATCCACCAAGGTTTCAAAATCACTCCTTCACTAGTTGGTTAGAAGGTTTTCCAATGCTTTTTGTATTTTCTTATATGCACAGTTACAGTACAGCTCAAAAGTATCAGTACACCTAGAAACTTATAAAAAAATGGCAAAATTCAAAGTGTCATAACTTCTTTAAAAATGATCAAAAATGCTTCTGCTTTAGCTCATTTTGAAGCTGAAAATCTCCACTTTTATGTACTCGAATTGTTTTTAATTAATATATTTTGCAACTATGTACAATTACACTCTAAACATTCATAGAAAATTGTATTAATTTTTTGTGAAGTTTGACGCGATGTACGGGCACAAAGGGGTTAGATATTGTTAATTTTTATTATACCATTAAAAAATTTGAACTTTTAGCTTTCATTTAAAAAAAACATTTAAAAAAAACAAAAGATTTTTTGACGAAGTTATTGTCAAATAAAAAAAAGGTTTTTTTTTCAGAATTTAATGATTTTTCAGCAATTATAATGAATTCCGCACAGGAACTATTTAGGTTCGTCCTCCTACCTTCGTCATATCATATGTGGAGAGTCCTTCAAGAGCAGTGGCGAAAAATAGACAGGATAACATTAAAAAAACTGATTGATCGGATGCCCCGAGTGTGTGCTGCAGTTATAAAAGCGCGGAGAGGATATTTTGAAGAAAGCAAAATATGATGTAAAATATTTTTTCATTATTATATTTTTTTTTTCAAATTTTTTCTGAGAAAAATACGAAAAAATAAATTTCAAAATAATAAATTGTAAACGTTGATTCTTATTTCATTATTATATTTTCCAAAAAAAAAGTTAAANTTAACAAAATAAAATTATTTGAACACTTTAAAATTTATTTACTACACTTAAAGATCAAAGACTATAAATAAGGGATCAAAGCATATTTCAGAGCATTCATTTATTCAAATGCTCACTATTGCAACTGGAATAGCAACTTTTCAACTAACACACCTGTTTTCAATGAACGGATGAAAGAAATTATCAAAAGCTGACCCCTTACAGTTTCCCCTGATGGTCAACTCACAAAAGGGTTTAGATTAGCTTTTTACACTATTTCACCAAACAAGTGAAATTTTAACATACATTGCCTAAATGACAGAAAATTTTCTGAATTTTTTTTTTCTGGTCAACTTATGAGGGTCTTAGAATAGAATTTCATAATACTCCTTGATAAAATTGACTTATTTCAGTGGTCAACATACAAGATAGACAGGTGGTCAAGTTACAAAGGTTTTGCTTCTTTATATTGTATAGGAAAAATTCCGTTCTTGATAATTGAGGTCAACTTATGCAGGCGCCCAACTTACAAGGGTGGTCAACTTGGCAGGTTTCACTGTATAATAAAAATTAACAATATCTAACCCCTTTGTGCCCGTACATCACGTCAAACTTCACAAAAAATTAATACAATTTTCTATGATTGTTTAGAGTGTAATTGTACATAGTTGCAAAATATATTAATTAAAAACAATTAAAGTACATAAAAGTAGAGATTTTCAGCTTCAAAATGAGCTAAAGCAGAAGCATTTTTGATCATTTTTAAAGAAGTTATGACACTTTGAATTTTGCCATTTTTTTATAAGTTTCTAGGTGTACTGACACTTTTGAGCGGTACTGTATCGATCCTTTACAGGTTCCCACCACGACAAATACATCGATTCCAATGTGAAAGGCTCCCTCTTGTTTACAATCATCTTTGAAGATTCTAAAAAACATAGTTAGATATAGATAACATTATAAACCAATAATTTTTTATTAACCATGCACTGTATAAAAATATTACTCACTTCAGAAACATCAGATTTCAACGGCTTAACTTTCTTCGCAGCAACGTTCTATCAAAGGAAAAAGAAACATTTATTTAGTTCAGAAATACATTTTAAAAATCAATCATGAAATACATGTTATAATCTCATTTTTAAATGACTTATTCAATAGATTTTACTTAGTTCAGATTCACTCTTCCTTTTCAAGGTATCCATGACTTAAATGTGTTCAGTTAAAAAAAAGAAATTTGAANAAAAAAAAAAAAAAAAAAAAAAAAAAAAAAAAAAAAAAAAAAAGCATAACTATAGGACCAACATAGGTTAAAATATCTATAGCTTCAAAGAAGAGTTTGAAATCAAAATGTATAAATGAATATTAATACTTATACTTAGGGCTTGGTGATGAGGAGTAACAACACGAGGTTAAGATTTGCGAGGACAAGCCGACAAATAAGCACTTCCTTTCAGATGTTTCCACCAACAAAAAAGTTTACACTTCCGTTGAGGAAGAAATAAGCACCCTTTGACTTCGATCAATAACCGACCAAAGCATAGATGACGTCACTTCCGGGTTAACAGAGCTCCACATACTACGTCACCAAATTTATACATTTAAAGTTGACGGATACAACGCATTTTTTAAAATTTATACTTCTTTTAAAATATTTTTCTAAAAACTATTCATTTCAAATCAATGGTAATTGAATAGAAAAAAATATTTATGTATTTATTGGCCAAATTAATGGGAATGTTGTATTTATTGCTTAGGTGAAATGTAAAAAATCGCCACATTATTATTCATGCCAATGATGCTTAATTAATTTAAATAGAGTATGCATATTGAAATAAAAGAAGTAAGTTTTGTACCAGAAAGAAAAGTAATGGAGTTAATCTATTTATTTGTCTGGAGGAACCGTGAGAAATCGTCATATTATCAATGATGCTTAATTAATGCTGGTAATTTGTTAATTGTCATAAGAAACTGATCAAAATTATAGCAAAAATATTAGAGAAAAGATACTTATTCATTTTGAATCGACATATTATTACTATATATATATATATCGGAATAGTATGGAATCTGATTCATATTAACTAAGAAGAAAATATATCTTGGTTTTCAAAAAGGTTAATAAGGTTAAGGTATTGAGTAACGAAGTATTGAGAAACTTTGATTAGGATTTTACAAAGTATTAACAATTTTCTGGAATTTTTTTAAATGTTTCTTTATTGTTTAAATTTAAGGAAAAAGTATTTTCCTCACATTAAAATATAACCACTAAAAGCAATGGGGACATTCATGGTAGATTACAAACATAAAATTATATAAATAGGACATTTTAAAGAAATAGGAATTGTAGACTTTCTTGAGATATTATACAGGGGTTAAGAAAATTATTTAAAGTGGCTCTAAAGAAGTTTATTTTGAATTGCTGCCACAAAATATGAGACTTGGCTGCTCTGCCGAAAAGTATAAGGGCATGTCCCCATTGTCATACTTATCACAAATGTTTGCACGAATAAGCTTTAACTTTCCTTTCCTTATATACTTCCTTGTTGAAGATCAGGTGATTTGTTTTTTACAAAACCAAATGATAAAAAGAGTAAAAGCGTTTCTTTGGCACTTGATCCTAATAAGACTAAAAATAAATTTAAAAAATTGATTTAATATGACCTGATGAAAAATTCAGTTAAATTAAAAACGGCAGGAAATGCTCGATATTTGAAGGAAAAGAAATACACGGAAGAAATCTTTTAAAAACGTTTTGAAGAAGGTGCTAAATATTACTAGACCAAAAAGGTCTACAAAAATGGAAAACTGAACAAAATGAACGCAAATTAAGGAATCCAAATGAAAAAAAAATTTATGTGCATGGAAAATAGATTGCATCCAATTCATCCTCTTATGGTGATTTACTACACTTAATATTCATTTAATGTAGTGAAATATAAAATTTTGGTAATATTTTAATATTCAATGATCTTTAACTTGTTTATTTGAGTCAAACATTAAAGTTGTATAAGTCGAGTTATTAACTTTATAAGGAGTTCCCTTTTGGGTATACATTAGCCTGGTTTAATCACATACACATGCCTGGTTTAATCAGTATAGTTTAATAGTAGCATTTAATAGATTACAGCAAAATAAAAACATTTTCTTTCTTTTTTTAGGATATGGAAGCTGAAATTGCTTTAATAATTTTGTATGCCTTCATGTGGCTCGCAGTTGTTCTGTGCGGAGCGTTTTATTGCATTTACTATATCATCATGTCCTACTGTTTTGGATATAGGGGTAAATAAATATATTTTTGCTTTTTATGATTTACTCAAAATTGTGACTATATTTCTCTTAAAAGGATGGTTTCTTCTTTTCTTTCTCTTTTTTTTTTTAAAAAAAAAGGGCAAAGAAACGTTAGCACAAGTGGTTTATTTTATGTTTATATTATGCAGACACAAGGTAGTTATACAACTCATAACCGGTTACTATCAGTGTGATGCCATAATGGGCATTACATATTCCCTAGCTTTTGAAATTTCTTTGATTTTCTAAATGTATCTTTTTACTCATTCTTAATCGAATTTCAATTAAATTAAACCAATTACTTCATTTTTATTACATTTTATAAGTAGTTGATATAAATATTTAATTCTTTTTAAACAATCAAAGTAACTTCTTATTTCAATACAAATGTAAAACTCATTAATTAACTGTCACTACTATATCGAAAACATAATCTTTTTATAAATCTTTATTTCTTACCACAAAAATATTTCAGTTACATGGTTATACTTATTCACACAGTCGTTTTGGCGATTAGATTTCGCCAAATTATTTTCAAATTAATATTAATTTTGGGTATAATTCAATTAATAAAATTCAAAAATACTTTCTGAATGATCTCAATAAATTTTGTTAAAAGATATCAAAAAAATTCTCTTCACCATTAGGTATGTTAACAAAACAGAAATGGGTTGTTTAATATAATTTTAAACGCTTTATTTAGAAATAAAGAAAATTTGAATAACTGCAACAATTCAAAAAATTTTTCCAATACAGTTCTATGAGTAAAACAATTACAAGGAAATATTATAATTACCCCCGAGGACAAATATAACAATAACTAGGCAATCTTCTGTAAAAAATTCTATGTTGAACTTTTAAATACGGAGTTAAATAACAGTAAAAATTTTTAGGTTTGTAATTTATATAAACAATAATATTATCATTAAATTTTTTTTAGCTTTAAACGAGAGGTTAAAAATTAATAACTAATAATATACAATTTCCATAGTTAATGATCTGTCCAAAATTTTATGAAATTCCTATTAAATTCAGAACAATCACTTGTGGGTCTAATACTTACCTAATTAAACCTGTTACCAATTTTCTCTCACTACTTAAATAAAAATTATTAATAATATTATTAAGGAAAGTCTTTCTTCGATTAACACTAATAATCAGACTATTTTAGAATTTATTAAACAAATTAAAATTAATTTTATTTCGACTTTTGATTTCCTTGATCTCCTTATTATGAAAAAAGTTAATATTAAATTAGCTTTTAGATTTATTGATGATTTAATTATTGTTAATTTTCGAAATTATAGAATTTAATAAAATAATATCTACCCTGAAGAATTAATCTTGTTTCATTATCATGACGATAATATTAATTTTATTTTCTTGGATTTAAGTATTATAAAAGAACAAAATACCTGAATGGTTTGTTTATACGATAAAAGAAATTGTTTAAAATTCGATGTAACTAAACTAATTGCATGGAATTCTAATGTTTCTAAAAATGTTTATTTAAATACTATTTTCGATCAAATAAATCGAATTAAAAGAATATGTAATAATGTTTATTTATCCTGAAAGCAAACAGATGAACTCTAACAAAATTTGATTAAAAAAAACAATGGATACCTAACTAAAGCAATTAAATTCTATATAAAATCATTGTGTTACATATATGTTATTGTAATTAAATTTACTAAAAACTTATTTGTTAATTTATATATTTTTACCATTTGCAAATCCGTGTGCAAATGTTTCTTTCTCCTTCCCTCTCTCTCTCTTTTCGAAAATATATGTTAATTGTCAAAATCATTGTATAATTAAATATCAACCTTATTAATTATAAACTAATTATGAGGTGTTTTAATATAACCTTGCGCGCATCCATTTTTGGGTTAATTCTTTTTAACTAACAAATCAAACCCGCTTCAGTACTGCAATAAGAACGCGATATAAAACAAAATCCCTCCATTTACGCATTTACCTTAATTTGCGCTTCTGTTTTCACATTTTGTAATCTGGCACTCTTGTCACGAAAAATTTTTAATCATTCTTGAAGATTTTCCCGTACGAATCAGTTCATTTGATTCACTACTCGCTTTATAGATTTTGTTTCGAGCTTGTTCTTGCATTTTATTTCTATATTTTACATGATATTTATCACTTTATGTCTTCCATTCTGTTTCAATTTTTTTTTGTTCTCTTCTTACCATTAATAAATTTTATGCCAATCAAGGCAATCAATTTTATGAAAATCAAAATTTCTCAAGAAAAAAAAAGTTTCAACAGTAAATACGATCAATGTATAAAAAATAATTGCTTCAATTTAAACATCTAGTATAAAAAAATTTTTAAAGCATGATCTATTATTTTTGTTTATTTACATGAGTGCTTTTTCTTATTAATCAATAAAAATTAAAGAATTAAATGTTTTATGAGTTAAAGCATAAATGATTGGAGAAAAAAAAATACCACAAAGGATACGTATCTGAATAAAGTTCGAATTAATTCAAAAGACATTTTGAAAACCACAACATCAGATGAAAGTTGATAGGAAAAAGAAAAATTTATTTCTCCGTTAAGATGATTCATAAATTAACACTGAGAGGGAAGGAGAAATTGAAACTTATTTTTCTTTGAGTTCTGAGTCGGAGGCAGGGAAAGTCGAACATCGAAATCCATTCCGGGGTGCAGCAGTCCATTCATTTCCAATATTTCCAATAAGTTTTCACAGCATCGCAAATTCTTCTAATAATGGCAGTCGTAAAGATAAAAATAATGAGTTGAGGATCAGTAGATGATTTTTGACATTAGCGCTTTAAATCCAATTTCGCTTCGTTTGTAACTAGACTAAATTTTAATTTATGCAATCAGATGTTGTTGGGAGTTGGATGATGTAATTTGCAATTGCTATTATTGACTGTAGTGATGAAAATAATAGTTGACGATTAAAGCTGGAAGAATTATGAATTGCCATGAGTTGAAGAAGAATTCGACTGATAAATGTCCATTTGAATAAATGATTTGTAGTTATTCCCTCTTCCGATTGATATAATTTCAAATACGATATTACATATCTTTGATGTACCGACCGTTTAATCCTGTCGACTTATAACGTCGTTACCGAGTGGGAGGATTAAAACAGGTCTTAGATGGAGAGAGAGGGTACAAAATTTATTTATTTATTATTAGACAGGCAGCAACTATTAAAGTGTACACGAAAAGTTGTACTCCTCGATTATATGTTAGGGAAAATCTTACAAGGTAAATCCGTAAAATGTTTAAATTTTGGGAAAGAGGGAAATCTTTGTTATTGTAATTTGTTTTTCAAATAGGTCTCGCGATTCCCACAAAGAGCAAAAGGGAAAAATGTCTTTACTTTTAACGAATGCATACTTGAGCCAAAAATAGATTTAAGGAGAGGATGTGAATTCAAAAGTGCGAGAAAGCGTTTCGATAAGAATAATAAAATAAGAAAAGGATATTCAGAAAGGGAATGACATAAAAAGATTAATTAAAGCTTTTTTTTATGTTACTTCCCCTTCCCCGAAAATTTTTAACTACATTCCAAAAATTTTAAAAATTATCTATTTGCAAAATCTTTTCCAAGATAGAAGCACAAATAAAATAAAAAGAATAAAACTTGTAATGCTAGCATTATATAAAAGTAATATGAATTATGAATGAAAAATACCCATTTGTACTCTTGGTAAAAATTTAACACAATTAAGAATCTGTAGTTGCGTTATCAGCAAATCTTAGATTTTTATTTTTAACTGTTTTTATGAATTAACAGTTTTTTCAGTAACAAGTCTTTCGTTTGAAGATCACAACAAAGTTACTTACCAAGTATTATTTCTCACAATAACACATTTTAAATAAGCTTTTCAATCAAGATGATAAAAAATTTTAAGCATTTTAAAAATGTGTAAGTTAAAATATATAACATGAAATGCAAAAAACAGTTTTACAGAAAAATTTTCAATCATAAGTTAGACTTTAGTCTTGTCTTACTTGTTTGAAATAAATTTTTTAAAAAAATGACACGGTGTTTGCTATTCTGAAGTCCAAGACCTCAGTATTGTCTTTATTTCACTTTATTTATCTTTTACCTTTTATATTTATCAATTTAAAAGCAAAGTATCCGATTTTTTAAAAAATATTTTATGTCCTAAATTTTCCATCTGGGACAATTTTTTCTCTTCTCTCTTTTATTTTTTCTTTTATTTCTCTTTTCTATATTTTTTTATGCTTTTATTTTCTTCCTTGGTATTTTTATTGCAATCATTAACCAGGATTTCAGGAAATAAGTGCAAGGACAAATTGCATTTATCATCAGAAAAGGTGATCAGTCTTCTCAGATTTTGCATTACAGTCAGTTTAACACAATCACCAATTGAAATCCAAAACAAAGCTTTCAAATTTAGTATGATATTATGGTAAATCAGTTTTTAAAATTTGACTGACCTAGCTATTTTCCTTATTTTTAATCTGAAGTGCAAATTTGGGTAATTTGCAAATTATCTTTCGTTTCTTTTCATTTATATATAAATTTTTTTTTTTTTGGACATATATAATTTTTCGAAAATATTTGTTGGGATCATATTTAAAGTACTATTTGTATTGACTTTATATAGTTTTATATTCACAATCAGGTATTTGTAATTTTTAATGTTTTTATCTCTATTTTGAAAATATTTTGTGTGTTTCCGGATACTATTCATTGTAAATTTGAATTTGGTAACTTTATCTTTAGATTGGGATTAACTCTCAGCAACCAGAAACTTTGGAAATGTCAGAGGAGAACAAGAACTGAGATAAACTAATTGCCAACGGTGGACTTTAATGACTGGTTGTTCTTCCATTCAAATTCTAAAAACAAGTATTTTTTCATTTTTCCAAATTTCTTTGTATCAGTTTTAACATTTCTGGATTTAATTTATATAATCTGCCGCACCGTTATTGCATTCATATATTAAAAACTAATTTCAATAATTATTGTAGTTACATTTAGAAGAGAAATATTGTTAAATATTTTAATTGCATTTTTATCTTAAACCTAATCACTATAGTGAAACAAAAATACAAATTCTACTAATCAATAAATCATAGAAACTGTAACACATAAAACAATAAATATTAAAACAATTTCTTCAAATATTTTCTATGCCAATCAAAACAATCAAATCACAGAAAATCAAAATTTCTCAAGAAAAAACAGTTTCAGCAGTAAATACGATCAATGTATAAAAAATAATTGTTTCAATTGAAACATCAAGTATAAAAAAAATTTTAAAATCATAATCTATTATTTTTGTTTATTCACATAAGTGCTTTTTCTTATTAATCAATAAAAATTAAAGAATTAAATGTTTTATGAGTTAAAGCACAAATGATAGGAGAAAAAAAATATCAGAAAGGATACGTATCTGAATCCAAAAGACATTTTGGAAACCACAACATCAGATGAAAGTTGATAGGAAAGGAAAAATTTATTTCTCCGTTAAGATGATTCATAAATAAACACTGAGAGGGAAGGAGAAATTGAAACTTATTTTTCCTTGAGTTCTGAATAGAAGGGAGGGAAAGTCGAACATCGAAATCCATTCCGGGGTGCAGCAGTCCATTCATTTCCAATATTTCCAATAAGTTTTCACAGCATCGCAAATTCTTCTAATAATGGCAGTCGTAAAGATAAAAATAATGAGTTGAGGATCAGTAGATGATTTTTGACATTAGCGCTTTAAATCCAATTTCGCTCCGTTTGTAACTGGGCTCCATTTTAATTTATGCAATGGGAGTAGGAAAATGTAATTTGTAATTGCTATTATTGACTATAGTGATGAAAATAATAGTTGACGATTAAAACTGGAAGAATTATAAATTACCATGAGTTGAAGAAGAATTCGACTGATAAATGTCCATTTGAATAAATGATTAGCAGTTATTCCATATTTCTGATGTACCCTCTTCCGATTGATATAATTTCAAATGCGATATTACATATCTTTGATGTATCGTAACCCCCTTACCGACCGTTTAATAATGTAGACTTATAACGTCGTTGCCGAGTGGAAGGATTAGAACAGGTCTTAGGCAGGGAAGGGAAAAATGTCTTTACTTTTAACGAATGCATACTTGAGACAAAAATAGATTAAAGGACAGGGTGTGAATTTAAAAGGGGGAGTGAAAGCGATACGAATTCCTCACCAGGCTAACACAGACCATAGTACTGACGTAAATCTCAGTGTAGACGGATCATTGGTTATATTCCCCTTGCCGTCAGTCTAATTGTGGGAGGTTTTCCTCCCCATGTGTAACGCAAATGCGAGTTAGTTCCAACAAAAAGTCCTCCACGATGGCAAATTTCTCCCAATACTTTATTCCGGAGTTCCCCTATCTTTTGAATTGGGTTCAAAATTACAAGGCAACGGAGTTTTATTGACATTGGCACTCGTGAAACTGAAATTGGGACGGCTTTTCGAAGACGGATGTAAAATAAATAAAAACGTGGAAGAATTTTTAGTTTTACGGATAGTGTTTTCTATACTGGGAAGCACTACAAGATCATTACCGCATTTCTGTGTTACTATATCCGTTGTAGAGATTCAGACTTGTCCACCATTTCGGATGAAAGCTGCGCGGAAAAGCTACAAGATTTGGCTACTTATCACTGCAAATGACACTAACCTCAACTAAAAAAAGCATCTTTGCGTATACATTGATATACGCTGCTTTTCGGAAACTTTTATTTTATTCTTGTACAAATTTATTAATTTTGCTATTTAAAATAAAAATATTATTCATTGCTAGATAGAAACAGTATATACACAATTTTTGGTTGTTTAATAATAATGAAATAAAAAAAAAAGCAAGCAAATAGAGAAGAATTAGTGAATTTATAATTGCATTAGATTTAAGCTTATCTAAAATTGATCCTGGTTCTTGATAACTTATTCCTTTCATTCTTTTTCGGGGAATTTTTTAGGGATTCAAAATAACATCAGGCCTTAATTTTTTGTTACCATCTTTCCCAATTACTTTAAGTTGAGACTATTCACTATGTTAGTAGTAAATAATGATTGACGGTGAATAATGAAGACAGAATGCGGTGTGCAAACTTGGAGATAATGATAAACAGAAATGGTGAAAGGCTAGTAAACATGTGCTTTGGAGAGGTGATAAAGGCTTAAAATGAATATTAGAATAAAATTCATTGATTATTCATTTATAGTAATTTGGAAGGAACTGTATACATGTCTATTCCCCCAGGTTTTAAGCATTTGTATGGTGAAAATAAAGTATGCAAGTTAAAACGTAGTCTTTATGGATTACCCCAATCAGGTCGAAATTGGCATTTACGCCTTAAACGGGAATTAGAAAAGCTTGGTTTAAAACAGCTAGCTTCGGATAATTGTATTTTCACTAGAATAGAGAATTCTAAGTATTTTTATATTGGAATATACGTAGATGACTTAATAGTTATTTATTCAGATTTGCAAATGTATAATGATATAGTGGGAAAATTATCTCGGATATTTGAAGTGAAAGAATGCAAAGAGAATAAATTTCTAGGTATAGAAATAAATAAAAGTGAAAAGGGCGTAACTTTGTCTCAAACTGAATATATATAAACTATTTATTGCAGAAACATCGTATGTTTGATTCTAAATGAGTAAAAGCACCAATAGTTAGAGGTGAGGATAGGAGTTTTAATTGTTCAAACGAAATGGTTAACCAAACACAATATCAAGAATTAATAGGGGAACTTTTATATCTCTCGAACAGAACACGACCAGACTTAGCATTTGTCATGACCTACTTATCCCAATTTAATCATAAACCTGAGAAACGACATTTTAATTTAGCTGAAAGAGTGTTAAAATATCACAATGGTACAAAGGATGAAAAATTATTTTTTAGTAACAAGTCAGGACTTTTGAATGCTCATGCCGATGCAAGCTGGGGAAATGCTGAAAATGGGAAATCATTTTCAGGAGAAATTGTAATGTTAGGTGATTCTTTAATTTTATGGAAGAACAATAAACAAAAAACTGTTGCTTTATCTACTTGTGAAACGGAACTTGTTTTTTAGGTGGTGTTTGTAAAGAACTAATGTGGATATTAAATTTATTAGAAGAATTGCATTGTTCTATATTTGTAAAAAAACCTGTGACCATTTCGTCTGACAATCAATCTGCAATTGATTGGTTGAATAGTGCAATATCATCTTCTAGAACGAGACATATCAATTTGAAACTTCGTTACGTAAAGGATATAATTGGCAAAATTATTGAAGTAGAGTATGTGCAAACGGACGAAATGATCGCAGATTTCCTAACTAAAGCTGTAACTTTTGACAAGCTCACTTGGACTGTGTCACAAATAAATTTAATTGATTAATTGTTAATAAGTTTAAGTTGTGTGGGAAATTAGTTTACTTATGTTTTATATTTTGTGAAAAAATGTGTATTTATTCGCAGGGGGAGTGTTTTTAATATTCAAATAAAATCTCATTTTTCCCCGCCCTCTCAGTTAAGTTGCGCGAGTTGCGTAATGTAATACAACGCCTTCCCGATAGGTGACATCGATATATATTTGTTGAAGAAGCTGACTGGTTGTTGGTTGATTCAGATGTATAGCACTGTGTGTGCAAAATATTGTCTCCGCATATTATGTTTTAATAAATATTTTATTTGCCGGCATTGACCTCTGTGTTATTCAACCAAACAACAGTATTTTCTATGGTTTTACATAGCTACCAAATTCTACTAGAAACACTTTTATTAGCTATTTTATATTTATCTCTTCTGATAGTATGGTATATCTGTCAACTTAGCCAACATTATTTTTGGAAGCGTATGAGAAGTAAACGATTTTATATGATTTGAAAATTAGAGATAACTTACATCTGTAAAGGATTTCTGTGTTTTCTTGTATATATATATTTATGTAATTTTTTTTTCTAATCAGGTGATTGTTTGTTTCGGAGATTTAACCGTTATTGCTTAACTTTCAGGAATTCAATTCTGAACTTGAAATTTGCGAAGTGTAAATTTAGTATACATTTTTTCGTATTTTAAAAAGTTGATTGAAATTTGATTTTAATTTGATCTTAACAGATTTTAACTTGAAAACAAGGAGGTTTCAATGTCTTACGCATTGATTATACTGCTTTTTTTCTCCTATCGGAAAATTATGCAAATCACAAACCGACCTTTAAGTGACTCTCCTATTTATTTAACGAAATATTCAATATGTAAAACTTTTATTCAATATGTAAATGCTTATTGTAATAATTTATAGGCGAAGTACTTAAGCAATTTTTTTCTCCGTAGGATCGAACTCTAATTGAAAAACTTCAGAGAACGCATTCTCTCAAGCAAATGCAGCAAGAACAATCTAAAGAATTTTTCACGCTGCACTGCCACTTAATGAAGATTATTGTGAACTTGTGAGCGCAAATAACAATGAAATATCTTTATTACAATTGTCATTGCGCAAAAAAGTTAGTTAATGAACTTAAACATTTATTGAACATAAACATTGAAATGATTCTGGAATCCTTTTTCTCGAAATACCCGCATGATTCTTTTAATGTTCAAGAATCTCTTAAAGATACAATAGAATATTTTCAGGACTGTGCAGAAAACGGAGAGCGTTGTCCTTTGCCGAACATTAGCGAAAACGAAATCTCAACTTCTGAATTGTTCTTAATTAACAAGTCTCCTGAACAGTTTGGAAACTCTCCCCGGTGTTCCACTGGATTATGCCGAGTTTCTGGAAGTTTTGCAAAAATCAGTGAAGGAATTCTGAGAAATTATCAAATTAAAGAGAAAGTGATCGATTCATCATGGAACAGACCAGTTGGGAGGAGCATCCTTAAAGAAAAGTGAAAAAAAGATAAATAAACTTTCCCAGTTTTTCAAAAGCGGAATTTCAACTTATAAAGTTAAATTTAATGTGATACTCAAGTAATAAATTTATTAATCATTTGAGTTCAATCTTTCAAAATTCCACAAAAATTAAAAAGAAAAAAAAATGAACAAAGCTCAATTGCACAATTTTTTTATTATGTGTTATTTTAAGGGCTAGGATGTTGGCAAAGGCATATGATCAATTATATATATCCGTAAATGGATATTTAAGTTGGTTATATGCATATAAACATACATCTTTTTAAGTAATATTTTTTTGCTTAGTTTGCCTTTTTTTCGCAGTGTTTGCGTTTCTTGTTGATTTTTTATTGGACTTCCTTTATTCATGACTTTTATTTCCCTCTTTTTTTTTGTTCCGAAAAAAATTGCGTAACTTAAAAAGAATATAATTTTTAATTTTTCTTTCTTCCCCAAACCCATGTTGGTATTGTAGAAATTGCTCACATTCTTAAATTGTTCTTAAGTTTGGAAGCAATACTGTCCTTAATTTTTATATTTTGGAATTCCAGTTCTGATAATGAATGCAACAATTCTGATGTTCTTGAATTTATCTTCATCAGGTATTATTCCTGAAATACATATTTATTTTAATTAGTATCTTATTTGTTATACATATAACGGTTTATAATTTTCTTCGTAAAAAAAACTAAGATGAAACATGTTTTTAAGGACATTATTTTTCTTTTTAAGGTAATTTTTGATGGGTTTTTTTCAAGCCTTTTTTGTATTTTTTTGCATTTTATGAGAATTTTTAGAATTTTTTAGCCCCGGTTATTATCATTATTTTTATTAAGTTATTAACAAATTGTTGCAATTGTAACGATTGCACTAATAATCATCTATTGTAAGCAAAAGGATTCAGTTTGATTTTTATTATGATTCTGGATCAGCAATGTTCTGGTTATTAAGGTATCAAAATTTGTCTGATTGAGTTTGGACCATCCTATATTAAATATAAAAGTAACCTCAATGCATTAATGTGTACCATCCGGAGGAGTTATTAAAATTTTTAAAAAAATTGCAGTTCTTCTTATCATTGGGAGCCGTGATTGCTCAAATGAGCTCCTCGGAAAGAAGTTATCCATTAGGGAATGACGTCACGTTAAGCGGAAATTTCTTTCACGGCACCATGAACCTCCTGGAAATAGTTTCTTGTTAAGAAACTCAACCTGAATTCCATCCAGAATTCTCATTCTTGGATGGAATGATGATTTTTGAGGATTAAATGCGAAATGGCACCGATTAAATTCTTAATTTTTTTTTCTAATGCATAAGAGAGAAAGTAATAAAATTAATAAAAGAAAAACGTGCTCAAGCAATTTTCAAGACTATAATTAATAGATAAATATTTTGTTTCATTAATACTTGTGAATGGAAAATACTTTTAGAGTTCACTGAGAAATTGCGAAACATAAATTATACTTCTCATTCTATGATAATTGTTATTATAATAATGTTACGATAATTATATGATATGTTATGATATGTTGTTATATATGATATTGTTATTGTGATGTGTTGTTGTGATATAATGTTATGATATGTTGTTATATATGATATTGTTATTGTGATCAGTTGTTGTGATATAATGTTCAAAAAGTTCTTCATGAAAGCTAGTTTGTGGCGAAAGATCTCTTGTCTTCTGGGTTAGGTTCAGAATTACGATGCTGTCTAACATAGTGATAGCAGTATACCCAAAATTGATGAGTGAACCTTAAATATGCCAAATAATTCATGCTACGCAGACTATATAAACAAGGGTTAGAAAATATATACTCAAACAAATGAACAGTGAGCAAAAAAAAAAAAAAAGAAAGGAAAAAAAAAACCCGGATCTCCTTGAATAATTTTTAATCTAATGATCTGAGCTTCCCGTTTTAAGACAAAATCGAAATGATTAAAGGGGAGACCTCAAATATGATAATTGATTTCAGCAGACAATATTTTAAGTTACGAAAAAAAAAAGACGCATTTTCTCTGACTATAAACATGCCTTTTATTCAGTGTATTCGGATTTCTGACCCTCAAAATATAGGAGGTAACCGCAATCGGGAGAAATATGGTCCCCGAATTTTTCCAGGAGAGTGATCCAAAGTTTTGACCTCTTAATATTAATTTCACTTTTCGCGCATTTTGTCATATCTTGAGAAGCGAATTTAAAAAAAATTGCTAAAAATTATAAAATTCGTTTGTCAAAGGATAATTCCGTGCGAAAATAAAAGTAAAAGTTCCATCTAGAAATCTCATTCTTGGATGGAATGATGATTTTTGAGGATTAAATGCGAAATAACACCGGTTGATTTCTTAATTTTTTTTTTCTAATGCAAAAGAGAGAAAGTAATAAAATTCCTAAAAGAAAAACGTGCTCAAGCAATTTTCAAGACTGTAATTAATAGATAAATATTTTGTTTCATTAATACATGTGACTGGAAAGATACTTTTAGAGTTCACTGAGAAATTGCGAAACATAAATTATACTACTCATTCTATGATAATTGTTATTATAATAATGTTATGATAATTATATGATATGTTATGATAATGTTACGATATGTAGTTATATATGATATTGTTATTGTGATGTGTTGTTGTGATATAATGTTATGATATGTATGATATGTAATGATTGTTATGATAATTAATTGTAATTTTTTTTTTAAATTCTCTATTGATAAACTTATAATTCAACAGTATTTTCACTTTATTCCGAATAATGCTTCTTTATACGATGCGCAGATGGCAGCACATTTAGAAGAAGTTATTACAGGGATGTATTATATAATAAAAAATAACAATGTATTTACAATAAAATATTCGAATAAGAATAACGGGGAAAGTAATTAAATAAAATGGTTTCGAAAAATATTTATGAAATAAATATTCATTTCTTCTTTTACTAATTTAAAAATATATTATTCTTCCATTAAAATAAATAATATAAACGCTGTGAAAGGTAGCTCTTTAAACTATGCTTTTATAGGAATTTTATATATGATGCATAAAATGATTTTACGAGAAGTTTTTTTACACAAATCTTTAAATTAACGTAATTTTATGCAAACATATTTATTTAACTATCAGTAAAAACTGTCACTTTACTAATGTAACAAACGAAACAAAGTAATAAACAAAGTAGCAAATTAAGTCATATTTTAACAAATTAAAGAGAAAACTAATGAACTTCTCTGAAATTCAATTAATTCATTTCTAAAAGACCGCTACGTTACTTTTTCGTCCGAGAAAATTTGATTTCTTTCTGATAATCAGTTATGATTTAAAAGTAAGTATAAATGGAGAGCTATCCACAAGTAAAAAATTTTGCATTTTACTTCAATAAACGTTTTAAAAGTTGTACTTTTTAAGAACTAGTTATATAAAAATACTAATAAAACGCATTAAAGAATTTGTCAAAAATATGTATTAATGAGAAAATGGTTATATTCCATGAATACATGATAAATTATACTGCAGTTTTTAATTTAAAAAATGTAATATAACATGAAACATATGCAATAAAGAAAAACATTAAATAGTCAAAAATATTCTAAACAGCATAAGCTCATTTCATGATCTTTTAAGCTCATTCAGTTTCGTTTTATTCATGCTAATGTTGCCCCACTTAAAATTTTAAGTAAACTATGTGATAAGTTAAATTTTAGCCACACAACCAGTTATCGTGGAATTCCAAGAGAGTACGGTATTGAATGTTCACGGAACCAAACTTTGCCAGTTATCATCCGTTTGAATCTCCCAAGCTGTGATTGTGTAAAACTGATCCCCAATGGCGGCCTTAGATGGATGGGAAATGAAATCAGTCTCCGAGCAATGCTGACCACAATCACGACGTTGGTCACTTTAGTTTCCGTGATCCCCCTGGCAAAACCTGGAGCTGAAATGTCTTACTATTTTTAAACTATTTTGATGAAATAGCATCGTTTTAACTGCAATACTGTATCTGGCCTTGCCCCGACAACCAGTGCTACCGTAATATATTTTCAATGAGATAGAGACCATGAATTAGAATCTTTCTTGCTGCTGGTCCAGCCGCGAGAGTTTTAAGTGGTTTTCTTCTACATGAAACGCAAAGACAGTTTAGTTTTTCTTCAAAAGGTTCTTCATGAAATCTAGTTTGCGGCGAAAGATCTCTTGTCTTCTGGGTTAGGTTCAGAATTACAATGCTGTCTAACATAGTGATAGCAGTATACCCAAAATTGATGAGTGAACCTTAAATATGCCAAATAATTCATGCTACGCAGACTATATAAACAAGGGTTAGAAAATATATACTCAAACAAATGAACAGTGAGCANAAAAAAAAAAAAAAAAAAAAAAAAAAAAAAAAAAAAAAAAAAAAAAGGAAAGAAAAAGAAAAAAAAAACCCGGATCTCCCTGAATAATTTTTAATCTAATGATCTGAGCTGCCCGTTTTAAGACAAAATCGAAATGATTAAAGGGGTGACCTCAAATATGATAATTGATTTCTGATGACGATATTTTAAGTTACGAAAAAAAAAGACGCATTTTCTCTTACTATAAACATGCCTTTTATTCAGTGTATTCGGATTTCTGACCCTCAAAATATAGGAGGTAACCGCAATCAGGAGAAATATGGTCCCCAAAGTTTGTCCAGGAGAGCGATCTAAAGTTTTGACCTTTTGACCCCTTAATATTAATTTCACTTTTCGCTCATTTTGTCATATCTCGTGAAGCGAATTTTAAAAAAAATTACTAAAAATTATAAAATTCGTTTGTCCAAGGATAATTCCGTGCGAAAATAAAAGTAAATATTTATTATTTAATTTAATATAAGTCGAACGTTAATAGCAAGTTAATATTAGTCAGGGTATGCAGTTTTCTGCATTATTTTAAAGTATGTAGTTTTACATGGCGAAATACAAAATTTGAGAGAAATCGGTCAAATAGTTTTGACAAATTGAATTTGAAAGAAATCGAACAGAAGGAAAGAATCCTTTAATCGAATTTGAATAAAGTCGTTTGCTTGAAATTCGATTTCTCTGAGACTATTCAGCCAATTTCTCTCAAATTTTGTATTTTGTCATGTAAAATTTCGTAC